TTTTTTTTTTTTTTTTTTCCCCTTGTTCGGCTTTATCGGAGGAAGGTGTTTCATTTTTTGAGTAGAAAAGGACGTTTAAAACGAGGGACGACTTTTGCTCACGTACATTTTAATCACGTTCGTGTACGTCCCCAATCCACCCCACGCCCTGTGTTATATATTACTTCAAAGGGGAAGTCACATCGTATTGACGGAGAGGACGGAATACTGACCCACTTCATTCCTTCCTCAGAGAAGAAAGCCGCACGCGCATGAAACGTGTGTTATCACTTGTACTCACTTGCACCGGCACAGAATGCCAAACGGACTGCCGCGCCTGCGGGCTCTCTTCACCAGTTGGGTGAGGAATAGCGCGACGAGCATGAAGGAGCAATCAGTACATATGAGGAGGAAGCCCATGCCATGTAATAAATTTATTCAGACGAGGCAGATGACCCAAGGGGCAAGGAACAACGGCACTGCCAAGGCAGCGGCAGCCACAGGAGGGACGATGCTACTCATCTCCCCCATCATGTTTGAAGCAAAACACAAAGAGGAAGAAAACAACCCCAAAACAGAGTACATATTCATGGCGGGAAAGACGATTGACTTTTTAACTCAAAAAATATTTGAAAATGAATTTGGCACGTCCATTCTTTACTTAACTTTCTTTGTTGCCTACCTGGCCCTGCTTGCACACGATAATAAAATTAACCTCCTGGTGCACAAGCTGAAATTTAAATATGCCAATAATATGTTTAGCATTGGCCACCCCAATTATTCGAAGTATTTAAACAAGCTCAGGACCCCCCGGAAGGGTACCTAGGTGTGGGGTAATACATTTGGAGAAGACGCCGACCGAGCGGTGGTACCATTCTCTCACTGTTTGGCAGAGACACACACTAGAGAGGCATCACTTACAGGTGAATGTGTACTTCTTTTCGTGTGACTGCTATGCCGTTTCACATCGTTCACACCTTTGTTTTGTGGACCGTTCCGAGGAGAGAGCTGTCCAAGGAACCCCCACCCCTGTTTTTTTACCTTTTCCCATTTCCACATATAAAGCAGAGCAACACGGAGACCATTCACTTCGTGTAGCTTGTTAATACTTGCATTTGCGAACCCCCATTTGAACGCTCCTTTTTTTTTTTTTTTTATTTTTTTTTTAACAAGCTGGGAGACAACCCAAACGCTCACAAAACGATTGATAAGGTTTTAGTGTGCACACCTCAGTGGGGGATCTTTTCCCCGTCGGCTGTTAGTAAAGGTGAAAATATTCTTCACGTTCGCTGCATGACCGTGACCACTCGGGTGTATTTTACCCAGCCATAGTAATCCCCCTTGGATTTCTTTTTTTTTTTTTTTCTTTTCTTTTTATCCTGAGAAGGATGTTGCATCGAAAAGGCAGTTAAGGAATTGGTCTGTGTGGTGACGGTGTTTTGTTCCCACACTATATGTTGTTCTTGCACATGGGTGGTTCCCTTTTTTGTAAGGAGAAGGAGGAGTTCATTTAGGCCAAGCATCGTGCCGATCGAGGTGTGCACAACAGGTATCTCCATCTCCATTTGTGAAGTGGTAAAAGAAGTGCTCGAAAAAAAAAAAAAAAAAATACGAAATGGAGGAAAAAGGCCTAATGACAAGGTGGCAAAATCGCCTGACCTGTTCATATTTTTTTTTTTTTTGTTTTTTATACAAAGTTGCACAAACGGGGAGTTAACGGCTAAAGGAAAATGCTCCTTCTCTGCAATGTGGAGGTAGGAGTAAGTTCGCGTGGAAGAGAACGTTGACACACAAAAAAAAAAAAACATGTTGAAAGAACAAGTGCCCACTGGAGATGACGCTGAGGGAGAGAAGTAATTGCCTCACATATTTTAAAACCCCCTGGAATGAAAATATTCCCCCGAAAAATATGATCAAGTTGGGTAACGTCGGTTGGCACCTCCTAACACGGGCAGATGGCTTCAAACTGGGGGGACAGTTCTGTTGCAGTAGAGGGGTGTGCACCTTGTCAGTATCGCGTCTGTCGAAGCATCCTTACAAGCCGAAGACGAAGGAGATTATTCACCCACACGTGACGCCACCGGAATTCCTTTCCCCATCGGACTGCTTTGAAGCGAAGACGAACGAACTGCAGCAGTACCTACCAAACAATTATTATCGAACCAAGTGGATAGAGTCACTAAGGTCTGGCGAACACTTGGGAAGTGATTACCCCTGGAACTTATTGCCTCACTGGAAGTTTTGGAGGAAGCGAAGGTACAATGTTTTGTATGAGGAGATTCCCTGGTTTGTGTCGAAGGTGAAGGGCGTTTCGTATTACCATCGTCTGAACGTGTGGATGGTGCAGTGGGTCGAGGACGGGGTGCACCGGATCCGTCGCTTCCGGTGTGCGTTTGGAGTTCTTCAGGCGAAGTTGGCGGCTGAACAGTTTAGGAGGAACTTGGAGCAGTCGGGGCGCGTGGACAACCGCAAGTCGGAGCGCCAGCTGCGCATGGACTACATTCAGAAGCGGGACGAGCGTCTGCTGCGGAAGAAGCGCTACTCGAAAATTTCCAAGGGTCAGTTTTAGCGTGGGGAAAACCCTATCGTTACGGCGTAGACGTACACCTTTTTTGTGCCGGATTGACCCATACACATGGAGAGCTGCCCACCGAGCGTCCAATCATTTTACCTACCCACGCGTGGTGATTACAACGCATAGGTGGGGCGCACATCTGGAAAGGCATTTTCCCCCCTGCCGTTGAGGGGAACGGGAATGCGTCTTCCATTTTTTTTTTTTTTCTTCCTACACAACTGCATTACGCATTGCGCATTGCGCGTATTAGATCAAAGTGGGGTTTTGTCTTAAGAGTAACGTTTAAAAAAAGGGGGAGGCGAAGAATAAGAAGAAAAAAAAAAAAAGCAGCGATATAAGGAAAAAAAAAGGGAAAATCGTGCCCATTTTTATAGGGCAAAAAAGAGGGGACAAAGCTTTGTTGATTATGCCCCCCCCCCCCCCCC